AGAGATTACAAGAGTAAAAAAATAGAAATACAAGGTTGACAAACAAATGCACTCGTTATTGACAATCCAAAAAAGTCATATAATATAAAAATACTTCAATTGAAGTTCAAAAGACCATGATTGTACCCAGAACACCATCTGAAAAAACACCAAAAAGAAATGGAAAAAGAACTACAGCCCCAATGCCAGGCCCCGCCCAGGCCTAGCGCGGGCAAGGCGACCGTTCGGGGCCCAAAAAAATTGGGGGCACCAAAATTATTAGGGTGGTATATTTATATATGTTTTTATAAGAGTATAAATTTATAAAATTTGGTTTAGTGACAAAGAAATTTAACTAGAATTCGTGGTTTTGTTGTTTAAAATGAATGAGGAGGTCTTAGGTCCAAAACACCATGTGTGCTTATTTACATTCCTATTTTTACAAATTTCTTTTCATAATAATATAAAGTTATAAAATTTGGCTAAATGATCAAGAAGTTTAATGAGAAGCAATCGTATATGCATGTTTATTTTTTTCAATTTTTACAAATTTTTAACAAATTTTTCTTATTGATCAACAAGTTTAATTAGAAGCAATGATCAAGAAGTTGTTTAAAATTAACGAGAGGTCCTAAGCTCGAAATGCTATATGCATGTTTATTTTTTCAATTTTTACAAATTTTTGTTTGGTTTTTAATTTATTTACTAGCTAGTACCTATGTGAGTTGTTATTTTTAAATATCCGTTCCAATTCAAGTCTAATCTTCAGTAAAGAGTAATGCATAGACTAAATTTTTACACCAAATTTGCAAAAATATTACGTGTCATCAAAAGGTTTAATTTAGTGTTCATTCATTATTTATACATATCCTTAAAGACTCAAAAACATTAATATTTTTTTAGTCTTATATTGACGAGGTTAGTAAATAAGAAAAAATAACTCACAATTTATACAAAAACACTTTAAAAGTTTAGATGAAAAAAAAAAACTCATAATTCATCTACTTGTAAGCCCGAAGTTTTTTAGTTTCCTTCATTTGATACAAAATAAATTAATTATTCCGTGTTTCTAAATTATTGAGTTTGAAGTGTTTCTAATTTTATCGATGTGTTACATGTGAAAACAAATATATTTTTTATATAAAATGAGGGCACATTTTTTTACATCGCCCGGGCCTCAAAAATTTCTGGACCGGCCTTACCCAATGTAACCCAAGAAAGGAAGTCAAGTAGGGAGGTGGAGGTGAATTATGTTCTTCAAGGTTGTCCAAAGGCCATCTCCAATATCCAAGATGGTCTTGAGGTTATCCTCATTTTCTTTAAAAGTGAATGCCGAGTATTTAAAGTGAATGCCGAGTAGCCAACTCTGACTTTTTTTATACATCCATCAAAAACCAATTTTTCCATCTATCGTTGTCATGCATTAGATACTGATTATAACCTCATCTTTCTGTTTCGGATCAAACGAACATGAGAGATTACAAGAGTAAAAAATAGAAATACAAGGTTCACAAAGCAAATGCACTCGTTATTGACCATCCAAAATTTATAAAAGTACTTCAATTAAAGTTCAAAAGACCATAATACGACTTAAACATGATTTTTCAATCTACCAGGAACACCGTCCGAAACAACACCAAAAAGAAATGGAAAAAGAACTGCAGCCCAAATGCAACCCAAGAAAGGAAGTCATGTAGGGAGGTGGGGGTGAATTATGTTCTTCAAGGTTGTCCAGAGGCCATCTCCAATATCCAAGATGGTCTTCAGGTTATCCTCATTTTCTTTAAATTGATCTTGTTGCAGGAGCAATTTCTCGAGTTGTGCCTGGATCGGTTTAGTCTCTTTGATGGCGCTGAGAATTTCCGCAACTATTGCAGCCTTCCTGGCTTCAATCCAGGATTTCCTTTTTGCAAGGTCTTGAAATTCTCTCTCCTTGCATATACTGATGAGCACATGATTTTCATATGCTACGTTTGAGATATTATGATTTGTTGTGTTTCTTGAATTATTGATGAATTTCATTTGATTTCATACTTAGACGTAGTGTGATTTTACGGAAAATATACTTGTTTTACGGCGAAGGGTTAGTACGTTATGAAAATAAACGTGTTTCTTGAACTTTTGTTTTGCCCACTCACACTTTCTGTTTTTCGCCCCTCCAGGACTTAGTTACCTGAATCTTCTGTGGCGAACGAGGGATCTCTGACAATTCTGACATCCACTCAAGTAAATGTAGGAGTTTATTTCTGGTTGTGTAATAATATCTTAACTAGATTCGACTGCTTTACTTATGTCGTACTATCATCCATGCTCTGACTACTTGTGTAATATGAGTTCTTCCCATTACCGTGCACTCTTTATTAGCTTAAATAACTTCTAGCTTTGGTTTAAATTTATTCATATTTTTCCACTTCACCTACACTTTTGGCTATGTCACCTTTGCGTGTCGGCCAACATGCCTTGACTCCGGTCAGGGTGTGTCATCTATGACATCTAGACTATTACGTATATTCCACTATGCAACCATCCATGGCATTTGGATTACTTTAACATAACAGCAGTTCCACCGTTGCTAAGGCCTCCCCGGGTTATTCACTATTTAATCCACCCAGTGAACAGTAACTGCCCTTAATGAACAGTAACTGCCTTTTGCATTTCCACCCCTACATTGAATAGCCCTGGCAATAGGCAATAAATATTATTATTTAAAAAGAATAATATAAAATAATTTTATTTGTACTTTCGGATAAGATTTTTAATCGGTCTCATTGAACCACTTTCTATTGAAAAATTTATTTTTATATGTTCAATTTTTTCTTTTCACATGATGCAGCACACCATTCCAAAACCTTTGTTTTTTTCACATGGTGCCGATGCACCATTCCAAAACCTTATTATTATTATTTTTTCTTCTTTTCACATGGTGCCAACACACCAGGATCATGATCATTTCAAAAGCTCTGTGTTTTTTTTTTCTTTCTTTTTCAAGCTCAGCAGCTATCTCTCACTTGAGCTTCGGAGGCAGGGCCTCAAACTCTGACAACATCAATAGCCGATCCATGCAAAAATTCACAATTTTTCCTTAGTTAAGTAGGTAAAGGATCGCTAACTCCTTAGTTAAAATCTCTCTCTCTCTCTCTCGCTCTCCAAAAACAAATCCCCAATCGTGCGATTTGGGTAGGGGCGAAGGCTGTGTGGGGTGCGACGGCAGCTGCGACGGAGGAGGGACTGGATATCTCCCCTTTGTTTGTGGGTGTATCATTAGCCTCTGCAACGAACTCCGGTGAAAGCCGTTAAGTTCGAAGGCTGGGTTTTACATTTTTTTAATTTTTTATTTTTTTTTACTTTTTTTTTTAATATTTAATATTTTTATTAATTTTATATTATGGCTGACGTCACCTTGATGTCAGCATTCTGTCACATTGCATTTGGGCTCTCAGGCTGGTAACTCATGCTAGGCCTCTCCCTCGGGCTGCCACACGTTGGACCAAATCCGCCGGGCTCTCTAGCCCTGTTCACTCGTCTGACCCTCGGGCTCCAACACACGCTGGAGCTGCTTTAATGAAACTCATTATGATAAGTGGAAATTTATATAAAGATTACACAAATCCTAGAGTATGGCATCTGCTACTAGATAATTTATGGTATTTATTTGCAAGCTATCACTCAAGTTGAAAACATGGCATCTGCATAGCTTGCATCAAATTTACTAAGAGTCAAGATGGTAGCCAATCACCAAGACTATAACCAAGCATATAAGCACAACAAATGATACTCAATGAAAATTGAAAACTTGAAAATAATTCACTTTAGAATTTAAGTATTCATAATCATGGCTACATCGTAACCCTAGCTAAGGAAAATTAGTTCTGAAACATAGATAAAAACGACAATGAGTCCATAATAAGAAAAATGAAAATTAAGTTTACAAAACCTTGAAAAATTATTGGCTCTGCTACTGCTGTCTTGCCGTATGTCCTCTGCTTCTCCAGAATATTGTTCAGTCGAGCTTTTCTTTTTCCTCTTCTATTTTGATTTTCTTCTCCGTAGCCAACAACAGTTTAAAGCTCATTTATTGACAACATTAGAAGAAAAGAAAACGGAAGAACTCTTCAATATCTGCTAGCCACTCTGTACATTAAACACACCTTGATTAGTTCTCCATTTGATGCCTTCCTTCGTGCCTTTCATCTCCTTGCTGCTGTTTACTCCTTTGGTTCGATAATTGTTTCTTTGCCATCAATAAACCCAGGAACCGCGGGTCGGGAGAAGTACGAGCCGGATCTAATTTTTTTAAAGAAGAAATAGGGCGGGGCAGGACGGGGCAGTGGTATTTATGAGGCAGGGTGAGTCCAAATCTATAGAAGCACAGGCCCCCGAGCCGGCCCGTTCTAAAATGGAATGAATGGATGAGATTTGTTTCTTTGAGAGACCTAGCCTCCTTTCCCACTCAACTCATCTTTTCCCACTTCTATCTCTCCTCGCCGACATCACCGAACACAGACCACCACTGATCACCACCATTGTCATCCATCACTGCTGTCGCGACCATCACCACCCCAGTATTATATTTTTTTGATCATTTTATAGAGTCACAGCTGTTTTTTACATAAAAATTTACCAAACACTATAACACTTTTTTTTTTAAAGCACTTTTACAAAAAAAATTTACCAAACACTCTACTGCATACCAAACTTGCCCTATGTGTGGAGAATTTGCTAAGTTCCTTTTGGTATGTTTTGGTTTCACTTACGCAAAATGTTTTAGTTTTCACTTTTGCTATATATTTTGGCAACCAAATGTATGTTACGTATTGGCTTATGATTAATGGTGGTGGTTTGCTTATTTTCTATATATGCACACAGTTTTGATCATCTCAGTTTGCAACAATCAACTTCTTCAATGGATAGAGAATGAATTGATTTGGGTTTTCAGTTGCATTCCTGGTTTTGCTGCTATCCTTCCTTAACCTCATTGCAAAAATTGATGCGGCAAAGGAAAAGTATCTCACAGCTTCTCCTTCGTCAAATATCAAGGTAACTCTGCTGATTAAAATGCATCCTTCTACATTGGCATTTAATTTATATGTTGTCGATATTGATCTCAGGGGCGGTTTTATTTCAGTTTGTCTAATTCAGAATCCTTGGCAGTTTGGAACAATTTGGTATGGCTCATGTTGTTGGACTTCCTTGTCAAGATTGTTAATGCAACCGCTCAGAGGTACCGGAAGAAACAGCAGGAAACAGAGGTTGCTTTGTTGTCAAAGAAGTCGTAGAATACCAGTCACACAAAATTCAGCCATTACTCGGTTTCACAAGTAGAAGTAATGGGAATTGCTATATACAGCTCTTTCGGAAGGCACCTTTGATCTCTCCCCAAAATGTTCTGTGCATGTCCTTGTTAGAAGCTTGTATACAATCACTAATGTAATGGAGAAGTGTAGAAGTTGCAGGTCAGTGCTGGTGAATTATCTTCTTAAAGGTTGTCCAGAAGACATCTCTAGTATCCAACGTGGTCTTGAGATTACCCACATTTTCTTTAAATTCATCTTACTGTAGGAGGAATTTCTCAACTTGTTCCAGTATCGCTTTGATGGTGCCACAAATTTCAGCATGTATGCCATGAATTTCAGCAAGTATCGCAGCCTGCTTGCCTTCAATCTTCATTTTCCCTTTCACAAGCTCTTGAAATTCTCTCTCCTTGCTATCACAAAACTGAACCTTAGGTTGAAGAAGCTGTTTTGTAGCTTGGACTTGGTCAGTCAAGTTTTTGCCCCTATCATACTCAGAATAGGCTTTGGAGTAGGCTGGAAGATATTGCTCTGGCTGCGTCAACAAACCCATAATCATTGGTCTGGTGCCGGCGGAAAAGCAATTAGAATCTACCAAGCTCTGGATGCTTGAAATCATGCAAGTTCGTTAAACCTCGCAAGCCATAGTAATAAAGTCCATTTCTAAAGTAGCTCTAGTTGTCGCTATGGCTTGCAAGTCTACGGTAGGATTCAAAATAGAGGAGTTGGCCAGTGTATTGGGTGCAGATGCTCGATCTAAAAGTTGATGGAGTTCTTCAAGAGAGCACATCACCTCACCTTCTACAAACTCATGACTCTACAACAGAAAGACATTGAAGAAAACTAATGAGGCCTCTTTAAGCTAGTGTCAAAGGACTGGAATGGGATAGATATATATGATGTATCTCAAACAAAGATATGGATGCCAACTTCCAAATTATGTCCAAGTTGAAGCTAGAAGACAGATTAGTTTTAAAGGAAACTTATCCCTCCAAATTCTACTATTTTCAATCGAGTTAGGCTCAGTTTCTTTCTCTTAACTCTTGTGTTTGAAGTTGAACAGATTTGTTATTGAAAAGGTTCAAATAAAACTAGCACACGCAAGCGCACAAATCAAAGAGGAAATATTGTTTACCTTAACTACGTCTTGGGCGAAATCTTGGTTGGCATTCGAGGTTGGTTCCGACCGCACCAAGCCAGGATTGCTAGACTCGAAAGCAGCAGTGCCATTGATTGTGGCCGAAATTACAACCCCAGTGGTTGCAGTTGGTTGTAGAACTGGTGGCTGCGAGTCTTGACCCTAGCAAAATGAAATATTCTCTTTTTGATACAAACGATATTCTACTTTAAATTAATCTAAAATGCAGACAATGGAGATTAGGTGCATAGAGGGTATATCCACGAGTGACTTTGGGTGGCTGAGTCTGTTAGGATGCCAAGTGGCATCACTTAGTTAGCTAGGTGTCAATTGTTGAGTTGGATTTCTTTAGCCTGCAACCAGCTATATAAGTTGAGATATGTGCATATGCAAAAGGGTGAATGAATATTTGATTGTATTAGTGTTCTTGTTAGTATATCTTGCATTTGAGTAAAGGTTGAAGTGGCATTCAATCATTGGTATTAGAGCCAGTCTTGATCCCTCAATCCCTTCTCTTTTGTCGATTGAATCGTGCGTCGACGAAGGAAGTCATGAAATTTCAGAACCATCTTGCTGCAATTAACGACACTCTCAATGTGCTAATCCAGCGATTTGACGCCATGGAAGCTTGTCAAGATTCTTCTCATGCTCGATTTGAGAAACTATACCACGATTTTGTGGACAAATGCGATATGGGTTCGCATACGCCGTTCATCAAAATGGCATCTCCTATCTCTTTTGAGAAATCGAACCGAGTCGTTCTCAAGCTTCAATCTTTCCATGAGGAAAAGAGAGAGTGAATTAGTTCTTCTCTCAATTTCATCAAAGTTACAAGCCCAAGACTCGTCCTTGTTTATGACCCATATTGAAGAGATTCAAGAAGGTTCGTGACTACGGCAAACACAACTACGATGGTTTTGCAATATTTCGTTCCAATTCCAAATTTCAAGAAAGTTGTGGGTTTTTTTCGAAAAGCTTTGGTTGTGGAGGATGAAAAGGTTTTCAATTTGTTCGACAGGGAAGCTAAAGATCATGTGAAAATTCCTCCATTTCTTGATTCTAATCGCAAGGCAGGCACGGCAAAGGAGTTGGTTTCTTTATTCAACAAGAAAGCTGAAGATTCTGTAGTAGCTTCTCTAGTTCTTGATTCTGATTGCAGGAAATCCAAGGTTCAAGCTTGTGTTCTGGGTTTTACATTTCATAATGGCTTGGCTACTTCTTTTGGACAAATTCATTCAGTTTGGGACGACGCCTTTGTCTATTCGTGAATCTGGTTGCAAGAACGACGTGGTCCAGGATTTCATTTTCACAATTCCTGTTTCTAAAGATGGGTTCGTGAAAATTGATTCACCTGCACTCCAGGTGTTTGATGAAAGGAATGTTTGAAAGGAATGTTCATGGATCTTTTGGTTTGCCAGATACCAGTCACATACTTGAGGGTGGTATATTAACTGGTAGAAGAATGATGACAATGAGAGGCCAAAACCGGAGGATGGGTCTAGTGTTTTGGGTTTGTTATTGTTAACTCTCTAGAGTAGTAATTTGATCTGGGAAGCTACTATTACTTTGCTGCCCGTTGTAGAAGCTATTATTGCAATTCCACCTTGGATTGTAGATGAGGCTTTTACGTTTAATACTCATCTCAATTGGTAAAACAAATTGGATTGTGGGAAATACTGTGTTGCGCAATACATGGGGGTTGCCAATTGAGAGGGCAGATTCTTGTCAACCGATATTAACACACAAATTTCCAAATAATACTACGAGCATGGTTGTTAATTTTGTGTTTTAGAAAGAACGAATAAAGAAAAATATACGCACACTGACTTAAGTGTAAGCAAATAATTTAGCTTTAAAATAATGTTTTAGAAAGAACGACAAATGCAGATTGAACACAATAAACTATTACATTGTTGGCCTCATGGACAATTGTAAGGTAAGCGAGGAAAAAAAAATAATCTGACCTTATCTTCTTCAAATAAATGGTACTCATTATTAAAAGATCCGGATAAAGGTTTCTTTCTTCCTCATCCTCCAAACCCCTCCTATACAAACCAGAAGAAACCGAATAGAGATTCAATTGTTCTGAGTCCAAATTGTGAAAAATAAAAAAATAAAAAAAAAGAAAGAAAGAAAGAAATGCTAATTGATAACCGATTAATACTGTGTAATCACTAAAATTGATAAACTTGGTAAGGAAGGGAGAGAGGGGATACGAACGATGAAAAAAAAAATAAATAAATAAACTTTCGACCAAAAAAAATACTGAAAGCCAAAATTATTCCTAGCATCAATAAATTAACAACCAAAAAAATATAATCAATATAAATTTACAGGAAAATCAAAAAATTGTATATCAACGTTACAATAAACTTAGCCGCAAACCTAGATAAACCCATACTGAATCACACTAAAGAGAAAACACATAAGTTATAACGCTGAAATAAAACCTCAGATAAATAAATTTGAAAAAAAAAAATAGTAAACTCTGGTGATTAATTGTTCTCAACAGCTTAAAACATGGTGTCAATATATATATATATATATATATATATTTTTTATCCAACGTAGACTGCCTTCTTGACAACGAACACCAGTGGAAGAAAACTTTTACCACCATCTATCAATCTAAATAAAACAACGTTCTCCAATATTTTTTGCTGAATAAATACCTCAACAGTCAACACACGATGAATTCCCCAACAGCAAACAACTCAGCATTTCACAATCTTTTGTGTCTATATGCGGCTAACAGTAAAAAACCACATAGTAAGTTGTAACCCAATTTATTTAAATATCTAACAGAACAATGATAACACACTTGAATCAAACTGGTTACATTTTCCACCCAATTCTTATGAAACATATATAACCAAAGACTAATCGTTTAAATGTGTTAAATGAAGGATTCAATTAAAAAAATTCCCTTCAAACACATAACCCTAACTAATCCATTATCCTAAGCCTAATTGGCAAGATATATATATCAATTCAGCTAAACAACACAGATAGATAAGAACACGTGATGTTCAGATTAGAAATAATACAAATCACTGACACTTATTTAAAAACTAAAAATAAATATATGAAATTTATCTTCACACAAAGTCTAATGCTAGTACAAAATATTAAAAACCTATGTCCAAGCACCTGCTCAGTGCCCCCTTTCTTCCATATCCATCCTTTTTCCCCCTTTTTCTGCAGACCACTCTTCACAATAATTCTACACTCTTCTTGTGCCTTTCAATTATTTTAATTAATCAAAACATCAGATCATATTTTCAAACACACCAAAAAACCCGAGCAAATCAAAATCACAAAATGGTCCAATGTTTTGATTCATTTTTATGATCAATTAATTATTTTCTCAGGCAGTAAAAAAAACCCACAAACTCAAAACCACAAAAAATTCCAATCTAAAACATCGAATCACATATTCTGATGCACAAAAAGATAAATTACAAATCCAAAACAATATAAAATTCAGAAACAAATTAAAAACTGAGATGAAGACCATACCTTGAGAAAGGTAAACACACAAAACTCTTCCAGTCAGATTCTAATTCCGCAGTCGGAAACTAAAATTGAATCCAATTGTAAACGATTTGCGGCAGGAATCGTAAGATCGATAAAACAATCAGAACACAATTTATAGGTTTGCACTAAACGCTGACAAACCTAGCTTTCAAAAAGTTTGAAAAAATCAGCCACTCCTCAGATGGTGGGTGCAAACAAAATTCCAAAATGAAAAAACGTAGAATTGGGTTTGCTTCGATCAGTTTTTGCGAGAAGAAAAGTAGGAAGATTTGATAGCAGGAGAGACCAAGATGGAGAGCAGAAAAATTATGGATCTGTGAAGGAAAAGAGCACGGACAGAAGAAAACATCTAGAACACCCAGCCAAAGCATACAATCCAACGATGATCGACGCGTGGCCAAGATGGGTAAAAACGTCATCTCACTGTACCAAGCAGGCAAGACCATGGGTAACAAAGAAGACGCCGAGGGGCATTTTAGCCATTACACTGCTCGTGAACAGTGCCACCGGGTTTTAGTATATAGATAATGTTAATTTCATGGAATAATTTTTGCCTATTTCATATATGTTAATTTCACCGACTTTTGAAAAGATTGAGTTTTGTGAAGAAGTTGAGAAATGTAATCTTACTTATTTTGAAATTGTATCAATTTACTCATTTTATGTAATGAATTAACTAAATCTTCATTAATTTGATGACATGGTGAGCATAAAATGCGTAACTGGATTGATATGTAAGCCACATTTGCAACTTATAACCTAAAAACTCATCAATTTATTGTATAATAGACATTTAATGTTACAAAAAGTGTAAATTGATATAGTTTCAAAACTCTAAGAAACAATTTGAAAAAATTAAAATTTAATGACCTAATTTAAATATCATCTTAAACTTTGAGAGCATAATATATAGTTAGGGCAAAAAACTTTAACATGTTATAGAATTAGTGGGTGAATGCCCACTCAAAAGAATGCCCAAAGACTTAGTAATAGTGAGTAATAGTGTTTGATACTTTCAAAAGTATCATCATTGTATTTTGATGGTTGTTGTTACGAGAGTCGCTCTATAAATAGAGCACTCCATGCACTGCGAAAGAAAGCAAGAGAAATAATATCAGTATCCCTCCCTCTCTTTATCTGCCATCCTTTTTGTGTTATAGCTACTAAAGTTATAGTGTGATATTTTGCACATGCTTTGCTCCTGTCCTTAGAAAGGTTATCTCCCTAACTTTTGTCTATTTATAACACGTTATCAGCACATCTATCTAACCTTAAATAGTTCACATCTCCCCTTCACCGAAAGAAGGAAGAAAAAAAATGCTTCCTTTAAGGTTTTTCCTGTTTTTCTTCTTCTTCTGCTTCATCTGCGTGATGCACCCTCACGATGAACTGCTAGCATCATGCCTGCTTCTCATTCTAAATTTAACAGTTACTTATATCTTTGATTTCTTATTTGGTGCAGTTCCTGTTTTCTAACCTAGTGTTTATTTATGTTAATTTTACTGTAATCAAAGATGGTGCGGTACAATCGCTCATCTTGAACTACAAATTTAATTTTCACTGCAATCAAAGATGGTGCGATACAATCGCCCATCTTAAGCCGCAAATTTAATTTTACTGCAATTTTAGGTGGTGCGGTATAATCGTCCACCTTACTCTACATATTTAAATCGATTATATCTTGCTCTGCATATTTAAATTTTTTTCCTGTTCAAGTGGTGTGGAATAATCGTCCATCCTATGCTTGTTTCGATGAGAATGGTGCGGTACAATCGCCTTTCTCATTAATCATGAAAATCTCGAGCCTAAAGTTTCGAGCGCTTATCATTTTTGGCCTGAAGATCAAAATGAAAATTTTGTAAGAACCAAAAGTTCTAATGCTATATTCCTCCAGGAAGACATATTATTGCAAGTTCTTACGCATCTCATTTTCCTTTTAGAAAGAAAAGAAAATGGCGAACTTGGCAAAGCTTGATTTTGTTGCCCTGGACATTACTGGGAGGAATTACCTTACCTGGGTACTGGATACCAAGATCCATTTGGAAGCAGGGAATCTTGGAGATACCATTAGGGAAGAAAACAACTCATCCTCTCAAGATCGGGCGAGGGCCATGACCTTTATTTGTCACCATCTTGATGAGGGACTAAAGAGCGAGTACTTAATGGTTGAAGATTTGTTAGCTCTCTGGAAGGCATTGAGAAACAGATACAATCACCAGACAACGGTGATTTTTCCAATGGCTTGCTATGAATGGACTCACCTAAGAATCCAGGATTTCAAGTCAGTGTTTGAGTACAATTATGCGTTGTTCATAATTACCTCTCACTGAATACAACCAGCTGATATCTGTGCTTTTGGTAGCTGAACAAAACAATGAGCTCCTGATGAAAAATCATCAGTCCTAACCTACTGGATCTGCACCATTCCCAGAAGTGAATGTTGCTTCCCTCGAAGTGAACGTCATATCCTCTGGTGGCGATAATCATAAACAAAGACGTGGTCATAAGCGAGGCCGGTGGAACAGGAAAGGCAAAAATCATGGTGGTTAGTTTCACAACCAAATTCCAAGGCAAAATTCAGGCTCGAGCTTTAAAAATGGAAATCGCCACAAAGGCAAAGCTCATAAGAACAATGCTCCTAGAAACTCTGATGGAGCCTACCATAGGTGTGGTAGCGATAGGCACTAGGCGCGTACCTGTCGTACCCCAAAACATCTGGTGGATCTATATCAAGTCTCTCTCAAGGAGAAGGGTGTCGAACTAATTTCCTCGACCAGGCTAGACTAATGGATATACCTAATCCAGTGTGTGACTTATCAAGACAGTTGAACACAACCCACCTAGATGTCTCAGACTTCATTGTGGAAAGGGGGAGTGAAGTGTATCGGTTCGATTGAACCATTTATATTTGATGTACTTTTATTATTCTGAACTTGTAGTTTAAAAACTCGCATTTCAATAAAAGAGGCATTTAAATTTCTAAGTTGTTTTTAACCGTGATCCCCTTTACTCATAAAGCATGGATAAAAGCTATGGTTATTCTCAAAACATGAGAAATGACGGAGATATTTGTTTTGCAGACAGTGCAACCACAAATACAATACTTCGTCATCGAAAGTATTTCCCAAGCTTGATGCCTACAAGAGTAAGGGTAACAACAATATCAAGTCAATCGGATGTAATTGAAGGCTTAGGGAAAACCCTTTTGGTGATGATGTAATTGAAGGCTTAGGGTAACAACAATATCTGGTGATGATGTTATACAAGAACTGGATGAATTAAGAAAAATAACTCATGGCAAGCAAAACAAGCAGATGATACCTAGGTTTGGAAGGAGACATAATTGGAAAAACATTCTATATTTTTTCAATTACCTTATTGGAAAACACTTTTGGTGCGTCACAACTTAGATGTTATGCACATTGAGAAAAATGTATCTGAGAGTGTGATTGGCACAATGATGAGCATTGATGGTAAAACAAAGGATTCTTTAAATGCTCGCATTGATCTTCGCGAAATGGGTATAAGGGAAAGATATCATCCAAAAGTAAGAGAAGATGGTAAGCTTGATTTTCTCCTAGGTGACTATACATTGTCAGATGATGATAATAGAGTTTTATGTAAATGGTTATCTGAATTACAAGTTCCAGATGGATACTCTAGAAATTTATCTCGATTTTTGGCTGCTGGATAACGTAATATTTCTGGTATGAAGACCCATGATTGTCACATTTTCTTGGAAATATTACTTCCCTTTATAGCTCGAGAGTTATTGCCTAAAGACGTATGTGAGCCCCTCATTGAGCTTTCTTATTTTTTTCAAGGAATTGTGTGCTAAAGTGTTAAGAGAAGAAGATTTGAATGTTCTTGAAAATCAAATTGCTATTACATTATGCAAGATGGAACAAATATTCCCTCCTGCCTTCTTTGACATCATGATTCATCTAACTTGCCATTTAGCATGTGAGGCAAAAACGGCGGGTCCAGTGCAATATAGGTGGATGTATCCTGTAGAAAGGTAATGTCAATTTTCAAATATTATTATTACATAACATTTTATTTGATATCAAGTTATATTCTCTAATTTCAATTTTTACTATCTGGTTAGGTATTTGCATAAACTAAAAGGTTATGTTCGTAATAAGGCTCGTCCAGAAGGATCTATTGCGGAAGGCTACTTAGGAGATGAATGCATAACATTTTGCTCTCATTATTTGCATCAAGTTGAAACTAAGTTTAATCAAAGGGATAGAAATGATGATGGACGTCAATCGTTATCTAATACATCTCGATTACCTATTTTTTCAACACCAGGTAAATCTTTTGGGAAAGGTGTACTTGAAGAGATGTGTATCGAACTCCTTAAGGCTGCCAAGTTTTACGTCCTACAAAATTGTGATGAATGTCTACCTTTTATTCAGTAAGAAATCTCTCATACCATATGAACTTTCAACATTCGATCTTTTACTACTTATTTTTAGTATTACAATATTTTAATATATTAATTTAACTAACTCCTTGTTATATGTGCAAAGAACATAAGAATATTCTAATGCATTCTGGTGTTAGAAATGTGGAGGAGTCACATAGGCCTCAATTTTCAAATTGGTTTCATGAGAGGGTATGTATAATATTTATGTGAAAACTGTTGATTATTAGATATATTGTTTCTATAATATTTTTCTTTCCATATATGCAGATCAAACAACTATACTATGATAACAAAGTTGATAAGAAAATGCTTTCGTTGGCTCTCGATCTGAAAAGGCGAGTAAAATATTATCCTGGTTACTATATGAGTGGGTTTAGGTTTCATACATTGCAACATGATGAGAATAAAAAAAAACTCAAAATTGTGGAGTTATGGTTAAGGGGGAGAATCAGATTGATAGTGTGCCTTGGTATGGAGTATTAAAAGACGTGGTTGAGCTTCGTTACACAGAATGCAATAGAGTTGTATTGTTCAATTGTGAGTGGTTTGACATTGTGCGAAAATGAACATGTTATAAGATAGATCGTTATGGAACAATTAGTATTAATACAACTCGCAAGTTGAATACTAAAGAGCCATTTGTGCTGGCAAACCAAGCAACCCAAGCTTTTTACGTGAGAGATTAAAAATAAGGCTTGGAGTTATGTGGTGGAAACGAAGCCTAGAAATGTTTATGAGATGCCTAATGTTGATGATGATGATGAGCCATACCAAGAAGAAGAGGCGCATGGGGGTATTCAAGCCAACCAAAATGATGACGAAGATGATGAAATTATGGGATAAGCTCTCATTGTGATTGTGTCTTTCTTTTATTTATTTTTTTTTTTTTTGTCTGAAAATTTAGTTGTGGAAGTGATGTGGTTATATTTTGTTCAATGTCCATGACAAATG